GTCTTCTTGCTTAGTGTAAATTTAATTAGCACCCAATCTTCACTCATGTACACACACGTGTAGCTCTGAAGTGGTGTATGTATGTATGTATGTAGTATGTACTTATATTTGTGATGTGATGATTTCTTATTTTTATGCACATATTTTAATAATTTATTTTTAATTTAAATTATTTATTGTTCCTTTCAACAAGTTCTCTATTTTTTTTTTCTATCGATTACACCTGTGATTTCCATTACTCATTCATGCTTAATTATGCTAATAAGCTGCAGTTAGTGCACATTTGATTTGATTCAGCATTACTGCTACTAATTACAGTTGTGTCATTGTCACTTTCAATTTGCCACCTTAACTTTTTAATTGCATTAATTGGCTGTCGACATGTGTTTGATATTTTTTGCTATATGTAAATATTTTTTTTTTTGTAATACTCGTGTACTTGTACATTTTCGCAATTTCCATACTTTTTTTTGCCAGATTGAGTGCTTGTAATTAGTTTCTAATCGCATTACAATTGTGTTTCCAATAGCAGCAACAGATTATGTCTCTTTTCTATTTTTATGTGCATAAATACATACATACATATGTACGTATTATGCACCTAAATATGCATGTAACAACAAATGTAAGTCGTTGGATTTTCTGTTTAATTTTTATTTGTGTAAATAACTTGCAATCGGATTTTCGAATATTTACTTTTGATGTTTTCACATTCCTGGTATGCGAAGTATGTATGATTTTACATGGGATAGAAAATGTATTAAATTTTTTGGTTCGTTAATGTAATTAATTACTTTTATAGCTAAATACATACATATGTACAGTAAGTCATAATTTTATTTAAATTTTTCAGCGTTTTTTTAAAGATATTTTTCGCTAGTGGGATAATTCTTCAAACAGGTGGGCCATTATTGTGAGCTTTTGATACGTGGGAGTTTCTTTGATTTTGATGACTTAGAGAGTCATGTTCGCGGGAAGATGTTTTAAATGCATATTTGCAGAAATAAATTACACTTGCATATTTTAAATAAACTTTTACATAACATAGAGACGTTTTTCTATGTATATAAATACATTAAAATGGCTACTCTGATATACTTACCCTGCAGTAAAATTTATCAATAGATAAAAAATAACCAACTTGGAGTTAGCTTTTTTGCGGGATTTCTATAAAATATATAACTTGTAGTTAGCTGCAAAAAGCTAACTTGAAATTAGTTGAAAAGTGATGCAGGAATAATGCAGGCGAAACCGGAAGATTGTTTTCTTTAAACAACTTTGAATACATTTTCATTCTGCACTTCACAAGTACTTTTTCTAATTGAGGATAAATAAAAAGGAGATCGACATTTTATATTAAAATTTTTTTATTTTGTTTTTTAATTGATATTTTATGTCCAAAAGTAGTTAGTTACAAGTTAGTTGAAATCAAATGCAGAGGTAACCAACCTTGACTATTGCGGGCCATCGCCATAGAAATATAGTTAGCTTTCCTCAAAGATACAGATAACAGTAACCTTTAGTTCCTTCCTAATCAACTTCAAGTTACCTTATAGTTAGATACATTTCCCGCAGAGTTAGGGCTGACAGAATTCGATTATGGGACTACCTACAGCAGAATAAATAAACAAATATGCAATGTTAAATAAAGTAAATAAATAGACAAGTAAACAAATTTAAAAAAAAATATTATTTTTCTCTTTGACATTTTATGTTTAATGCACATTTCCCGCAGGGGTAGTTATTGCTGGAAGTGGATAATGACTTTTTCATATAGTACTTCGGGGGCCGTTTTGTCATCAGGGACTTTTAAATGACATAACATGCTGTGATAACAAGCGCCCCCTGCATGATATGGCCATGTAAAAGTCGGTAAGTTCCCTCTGGAGAACATGTCATACAGTGAACATAAGTGTCACTTACATGACATGTAATGTAGAGGTCGTTAAGGCCCGCTACATGACACAGCGTTTAGTAGTAATAAGTGTTGCAAGGGTTATAAATGTCCTCTGGAGGACATTTGATACACAAGTTACTGCTGATATTTGGCGATATGTCATGAATTTGTTAAGTTGGAAGAACAAATCGTAGTTGAAAAAATTATCAGAAATTGATAGCAATTATGAAATAAAGTAGAACGATACAAGTGTTATATTTTGTTATGTGAAGAACGTTGCCGCGAAAGAACAAAACGGGAACAAATGTATTGAGGACAGTTTCAAAGGAAACATAGTGAGAACAAAACGTTCGGAAAAGTTCTCAAAAAGAACAGACTGAGAACAAAACTCCCGAGAAAACTCCAAGGAAAATCGATAATAGAATAATAGTCGTTTATCTACTACTGATCGACACTAGCTATAGAGGTGAAAGTCTTGAAAACTTAACATTAATAATGAGAGGGACGTCTGCGTGCTGGAATGAAAAATCGTTTCAGTGGAACCAGTGCTGAAAAATTTTGTTCGCGAATAGCTCAGAGAAGATTTGTTACTATTTGTTCTCTGTCAGAACGTGCCTGAGACTTAAGTTCCCAAATTGTGCTTCGAGAGAAAGGTCGTTAGACTTTTCTTGCCGTTTTGTTTTTCGCAAGAAAGTTCCCGTGACTTTTGTCTCGATGTTGTTCTCTTAGAAAGGGTCCCAAAACGATTGTTCGCATTTCAGTAAGAACCAGTGACGAAAAATTTTGATCGCGAATAGCTCAGAGAAGATTTGTTACCGTTTTTTCTCTGTCAGAACGTTCCTGAAACTTTAGTTCCCAATTTGTTATTCGAGAGAAAATTCCTTAGACTTTTCTTCCCGTTTTGTTCTTCGGCAGAAAGTTCCCGTGACTTTTATCCCGATTTTGTTCCCTTAGAAAGGGCGCCGAAACTATTGTTCGCATTTTGTTCTCTTTGGGAAAGTTCCACAGGGTTTTGTTCTTATATAATTCTCGTTGTGAATGTTCTAGACAGTTTTGTTCACGCTTTCGTTCTTGTGAAAACACTCCCGAATGTTTTGTCCTCATTTCGGTTTGGCTTTTTAAACGTTCTAGGGAACAAAACTACGACAACGACATTTAGTTACGATTAGACCCTTTACATCATAAAAACTAACCAAATGTAGATTACTTTTATAACAGAAAGCTTAACCTTTTTTCAAAGCAAAAAGCTGCTAAATAGGAAATGAGTGTATGCATTGACCTTCATTAAAAAACCAGGACAAATCCTAGATAACCAGGACGTCTGGCAGCCCTATGCTAAGGAAATTTCTTGTGCTTTGCCGTGCAATATGCATTCCTTATATAAATATATCTATATGCACATACCTTTAGAAATTCACAACAGCACCATTACCCAAAATGCCATCGATTTCCCAGCTGGTTTCGGTTAGCTATTTGCTACTTGTGTAAACTCATACATTAGCAAATATATTTGCAATTACATATGCTGCAGTTTTAAATATGAATATGTATGTATGCAAAAACAAATGTATAAATGTGTGCATGTATACGTACATTGTATGTACATAAATATGTTGCAATGAGACGGCTGTTTTAACTAATAGAAAATTATATTTGCTGCAAAATGTATGGTTATGAATAAAAATTACATACAAATTCACTTAGGCAAAAATTTTCATACATATTTACATATCGATGGTTCCCTGCAATAACGACACAACTGAGTTATATAGTGGAATAGGTTTATAAATAACCATATTTTATGCTTACTTCTTACTAATCCGATAGGGGCGCAGTTGTGCCATTTGCAATAAAACCGAAATCTTTAGAAAAAAAGTCATAATTTGAAAGTTTACAAATTTTCTCTTCCTAATGGCTGAAAATTGTCCGAAATTATTACGTTCCAAGAAATATAATTGCTAAATTACGAAACACAAAATCTTTAATTGGCTGTACTGAAAAATATGAAATTTTTAAATTGTGTCGTTTCTGCAGAGGACCATCGATATGTACTCTACGCAATCTTAACATAATTGCCCAGTATAATATAAAATTCCGAATTAATGTTTCCCATTGAATGCAGTCTGCAGTGAATCAAACCACCATGCAGATGAAGCATCTCTATATTCATAAGATTAGTAAATGCTTTGCAGCTGGCAAAGCTGTGAGCAAATGAAGTGAAATAATTTCGTAGAGCTAATGGAGTGAAGCATTTACTTAAACAGGTGATTTATTTACTCGAACTTTCTCACGCACTGTATTTGGAAAAACTAAGGAGCGATTAAGTTCAACTCGCAAAACTGAAGAAGGTGAAGCTGGAAAGCATTTTTCATAAAACTTTTGACTGTTAAGCTTAATTTATGTGATTTCTTTGACTTACAGAGATTTGATCAAACGTTCGAATGAGTGAATGATCCTCAGAGGTTGCTTTCATAATAAGTCTCTGGTTAGATGGTGGCGAAGAGAAAGTTGTAGTAAACTTGAAAGTGAAATTTTCTAGAGCCTTATTCTAAAAAATAAATTAGCTTTACAAAAGGTTTATAAATTGAAAAAATTTATGAAAACGTCAATTTATAAAGCTTTGTAAAGCTACTCTATTTTTTATGAATAAGGCGATAAGTGTATTATTTTTGTGATATTTTCGTTATAAGTCGACTCATATCTCAAAATTTCAAATTCAAAATTAACGTTTTTGGAAATTTTATCCGACAATTAATTAGATAATTAGCTTGACAAAGAAAATATGGTTAGTATGGGTAACAGAAAACTAAGTCCCTCAAAAAATTGCGAGGATATGTATGTATATATGTGTCCTTCTATCTATTTTTTCTATACAAACTATATGAATTGATCAAACCAAGGCGAATTTATATCAGGTGGTGTTGTTTCATCATCTGCGAGTAGCGTTTGATTGTCAAAATTTTGTATCTCGCTAGTGAGTGAGTGAAAAGGGAGAGTGTTTGTATTATTTTGTCGGCGCTTTTCATTCTGGGAAGAATAGCTGAAACTTGACAATGGCCTGTTAAAAGCAAAAACAAAATACAAGCAATTGTTGTATTTGTTGAATCGATGCCGCCTTATATGAATTCGCCTTGGATCGAACCATAATTGCGTTTTCACACAAAATTTAAATTTTGTAGTAATTCCCTTTATTATTTCCTTTACATGTTAGAAAAGATTTCCAATTGGCGTAGTGTTCGGTAAATAGGTAAATTTAAAATTACCAAAAGGATTAGTTTGTATTATACATTTCACGTGAGTGTGTGAGTGTAAGCGTAATGTGTACGTGGATGAGTATTTTATGGTAGAATAACAAAAATATGAATAATAAATTTTAAATGCCACAATAATTTTCATTATAAATATTTATGTATATTTGTATGCCACAAAGGGCGCGTGAACCACATACAAATACTTACAAACATTTTATGTAGCGATTAACAATGCATGAGTATTTTAAAATAACTCACAATAATTCCATATAACTACATAGTTTGCTTAAAAGTAATTTTCCTTTATATTTTACCACATTATCTATCCCTTTCCCATCTTCATATTTATGTATATCTACTAATAATATATTCTGTATTATTATTATTACTAGATATACTCGTATGTGTAGGTATGTATGCAAGTACGCATTCGACACGTCTTACATGATAACTGATTCTCATACAGGTGAACCGGAAGAACCTGAAGCACAACCGACACTACTACCACCACTATGCCCGCTACGCAAACCATCATTACTACTGCCCATACTGCCGACACTCTTCAGGGTTGCGGTCGTCACTGGTGTTGCGCACGTTGTGACTGCTCCACCAGCTGCTATGCTACCCACTCCAGTCGACATGCCGCCAATATCACTAATGCTTTTCACACGTCGATGTTGCTCGTACAAAGCATTTGGATCTGTAATTGATTCAGCGGTGCTGCTGCTACTCACAGGTGGCGCACTAACGCGGTGTCCAGGCGGTGCGTAGCTGAAGATGTTGCCGCTGCCGCTGCCGCTGCCACTTACGTGTGCTCCCAGACCAGGTGCTGATGAGGGCGGCGGTGGTGGTGGTGCAGTTGTAGGTGGTGGGAAATGATGTGAGGTGGTGGGGTAGAGCGGCGCTGAGTGCGGTGGGTGACCGCCTATAGCGGCGTAAATTCCTCCACCACCTTCGGAGCTACTATACGATGGTGTGGGAGAGGTGGAGTTGCCGAAGGATGAACGATCCCCAATGGAGCTTCCGCTGCGTGATGATTTTGCATTGAAACGGAAGGCTTTAGAGAGAGAACTCTGTGGTGGAGAGGGAAGGAAAAGAAGATTGAAAAACATTGTTGAGATAAGGTGGATATGAAATAAAAGACTAACAATTAGCAGGATTTATTACGTAAACTGAAATTAAGGGTTTTAAGAAAGCATAATGGAATCGCATGCAATAAATGTAACTGTAAGTTGAAGTTGAAAGTGAAATGTGGACAAAAAAAATTATAGATATTGAAAGGAATTTAAAATCGTTAATATGATTTTATTGATTAACTATTACAAAAGCTTATTATCATTGGAAATATTTTCGTAGAATATATTAACCCATTAGCTCCCGCCTGAAAGGGTTGTTTTGACCCTTGAAATTGTGCTTTTGACGAAATTTCGTAACTAACAAGAAAAAATGCTAATAAAAAATACAAAATAGTTTAAAAAAAAGTGCGAAGCAAAAAAGCAACACAACATTCTACTAATCGAATTATGCATTTAAACCCAAGAGACATTGCAACTCACCTGTGATCCTTTCCATGCCGATATCTGCTGAGCACAGAAGCGGGAAAAGAAATAAGAATGCATACATATGTATAAAAGTTCAAATATGTAGTTTTTAGCGCTGGTGCAAATGAAATGAATATAAAAAAAAAATTTAAAAAAAAAAAACAGTAAAAGTGATTAATTACAACCGAGACAAATTTGCGTTAAAGTGGCTGCATAATTTCCACACAGGCGCAGACAAGCACGCGCAAGTTAATTTATGCGCACACACAAAAGAAAAAAAACATACAATAAGTATTTATATTAATGCATATTTTGCACCGGCGACATTTCCTGCGGTCATACGTAGGAAGGGCAATGCAGCCGGACGTTCTGTGGAATTGCTACATATACATACATATATGTTAGTAATTATGGCTGAGTAAGGTTCACAACCTGGTTTAAATTTATTAGGTTTATGTCGGGTTGCCAATTAGGAAAAAGTAAAACTTTTATAATGAGTTAAAATTTTGATTTTTAGTCGCCGCACAGTGGGCGGAGCGGCCATATTTTACGCGAAAAAGCGATATTTAAAAACTGTGATAAAGTAGCCGGAATAAAAGTATTATTATTCAGAAATGTCCAACGAACTCAAAACGGATTAGTATTAGTGATTAGAATTAAAAAAATTAAAAAATGCAAAATCCAATAAGTCGTAGGAAATTTGAAAAAATTCAAACCTAAATAACTTTATTTCAAAATGAGAAAACTGAAGTTTTTGAAATGACGAATTTCGTATAAACTAAAAAAGTCTTAAAAAGACTGTTGGGGTCTAAATAAAATTTCTTTTGGCTGAACATATGTGTACATAGCAGGCGGCCCCAACTATCACTAATTTATAAATATAATTACTGTTACACTTTTTCATAATTTGATCATAAACTCATTTTAAAAATGTTCCCTAGAATATGGTTAATCAAATTTTGGTAAACAAATATTTTGTGTTACTCAACTGATTTGGCAGTTGTCAACCACAAAAGTTTGTATGTGATACAAAACTCGAGATCAGTGAGCCTTAAATCCTAGTACGTTTACTTATTGGGTAATGCTCCTTATTTTTAGAGAAACTGACAGCCCCTTCGACTTTTGTTAACTCTTAACGTTTTAATTTGATATAAATTCGTGAGTAGCGTGTCTAAATCCGTTAATCTTACAAAATATTTGAATATTGTTTATTTTTAGTAAAATCAACACTTTATTTGACAGCTGTCGACTCTCAAAGTTTTAATTTGACATAAAATTCGTGATGAGCATGTCTAAAAACCTAATCAGTGGCATTTAAAAAAATTTCTTATTTTTAGGAAAATTAGCGGTCCATTTGACAGCTGTCAACTGCCAAGGTTTTAATTTGATTTGAAATTCGTCATCAGCATGTCAAAAAACGTAATGCGTATTATTTTCAAAAAGATGTTCTTAATTTTAGGAAGAAATTGGCAGTTGATTTGACAGCTGTCAGCTGCCAAACTCTAAATTTTATAGCATATTCGGATTCAGCATGAAAACAATACTAAGATCCCGCAGTTTTATTATAATCGTAACAGCTCTTCTAATTTTTCGCATAAAACATGGCTTCTGCGACCACTGTGCGCCGGTGAACTCTATATATACATAAAATCAGGGCTGCAAACCGGTTTTGAACCGAACCGTCGCCTTTTTCGGGCTTCGAACCGAACCACGAATCGATTTGTTTTTATTTTGAAATGCCGAAACCGGACCGAAAACCACTCAAAAAAATGGTTCTGTTCGGGTCGGTTCAAAACGAGAATCCCCTAAAGCATTTTTCAAGTTTATTAATACACAGCTTTGGGCTAAAAATGCAACCCGTATAGTAAAACTGCAAACATTTTTTTGTTTGATGGCAACTCCGTGGGTTGTAATTTCGCATATTAAAGGAATACTTGATTTTTTTCTTATATATATAGAAGAAAATATTTACCAACGCCAGTTAAATAAAAAAATTCTAAAACTCGAATTTTTAATTTTGGATTAATGAATATTAAACCAACAAAAGAAAAATAGTCAAATGCCGCACTATTTTAATATTTCTTTGACCATAGGTATCTTGTACATATGAAGTTAAGGCCTCGTGTAAGCTTCAGCCAAGGTTTCTTAAAAGTTTTCTAATTTCACTTTGATAGCGTTGATTTTAAATATATATTTTTTTTTCTTCCATTGAAAAAAATTGTCCAACATAAATACATAGTTTGTATGGAAGAAAATCCGTGAAAATTGTTAAAAATCAATTTAAAACTGAAAAGATTTTCCTAGAAATTCTTATAAAAAAGTTTGCAATTTAGATGAAACTGTGCAGAATATTCATAAAAAAATGAATATTAAATAAAAGAAAGCAAAATAGCCATAGCTTTACATGTGGATATTTAATTTTGATCTCAATAACAAAGCCTTTAATTTTTTTACTAGTCATATTTTTGTAATATTTGAAATACTTTGGCATAAAGAAATTGATCCACTTGAACCGAACCGAACCGCGATTCAGGGACACTCGTCAGCTTTTTCTAAGTGGTTCGAATCACTGAACCGAACCGCACCAATTTTTGAAGTCGGCTGCAGCCCTGGTTTAAATAACGGTTTCTTCTTTTTCTTTAGGGACGCTAAAATGGCCCCAAAATTTAATTTTGGGTCGCAGATTACGGATCTGTGTACCGTTTTTCTAGATAAGGTCATTTACCCAAGATATTTTCATTTTAAGTTTACATTATGAATGAAAATAATCAAACCTTAATACGGGCACGTACGACATGGCGCATGAGCGACATTCTTAAAAAAAATTATTGCAAATTTGCATTTAACCATTCCAACCTTCTTTATTTAGCCATCGATTTCCGTCGTTAGTCGCTGGATTTTTTGCTAAACAATAGGCTATAATACAAACGATTTTCATAATTTTTTCCATGTTAAAATTTTAATTATTTTCCATAAAAATGAAAATATCTCTGGAAATGAACTGATCTGGAAAACCGGTCTTCTGCTTACAATAATCAACTACCCAATATTAAGTTTACGTGTGTCGGCAATTTCTTGTTTTGTGTAATTTCAAAACTTGAGATTTTCCCTACAGTGTAATTTATTTTCCACATCTGCTACATTATCACGTATACGTCAAGTAGTAGCACGCAGCTCGTATTGCGGCTGACCAATTTTTTAACCAATTTAACTCTTTTAATTAATAACCTATTTACTTTGCACTCATTACAGCTCATGAAGCATGCATCCTTATGTAATACGCATGCATACGCAAAATACTATTTTTACCGCATAACTGTGCCCTTTACGCATGTATGTATGCAAGTGCATATGTAAATATTAAAAAATCCAATTTTACATATCGTAAATGTCCTTCCCGCATAACGTTAGTCCGAGCTCTTGTTGTCATTTAACATTTCATTTCATTCAATTGTACCCAATTAACTGTTAATTTAATGTCATGAAATATTCGTTTATACGCAATTTACATGTACATATGTGCAGACACATTTACATGCATAGCATAGCATTGCACTGCGCTATGCCAGTCCTTTTATTGTCACTTACCCCACTGGTCACTTTTGATCATCGAAATTTTTTCACTTATTTATTGAAACCAATAAAGAAACTAAGAAAATTACCCTTTAGATAAAAACATCACACTGTTTGTATGCATTATTATTTATTTATTTCACTTACTCAGAATCGTTTAATTTACTTAGTTAATTAAATTTGCAATATTTTTAACGTTTAATATCTTAAATTTTTATTAATTCACCATTTGATTGATGTGATTTTTCCTTTAGTTTTTGTATTCGGTTTTGATCTTTTTCTATAATTTGAAAACGTCTTTCTGCTAATCGATTTATTTTATAAATTATTATTATCCCTTCTGGAATATCAGCTTTTTTATTTTATTTTTATGTCGTCATTAATATTCTACTCTTTTGCGTGCGATTGACAGTATGCTAATAATAAATTCAAAATAATTACTCGAATTAATTCGTATTTGTAATTTAATCAAGCATACCTAATTTCAATGCCTAATTGGCTTTCTTTGTTTTATTTTAATGTTCTGCTCTTTAATTGCCTGGTAATTTGTATCTGCATTAGTTAGCGGTTAAATTCATCGACTTAACTTTACGTGCAAAAAAAAAAANTTTCTATTTAAATTCTGATTTACATACGTACATAGATACTATTAACTTCGATAATTAAAATCTTTGTTCGGTACTTAAATACATACGTACATTAACACGTAGTTTAAAAGAAAAAGCTTCTGTAATAACTAGTACTTTTGACTTTGTTTCTTTGAAAATATCGCCGAAGCTTGTGAACTTAGCAATAAAATTTTTTACTAGTTTTTCAAAAAAGTTATTTTGGTTTCTAGGCCAAGTACTTGAATGCCATCAAGTATCATATACCATGTTTATACCGGACACATAAAGCGCTTTGACCCAGTTCGCTGTGATTCAAAGCGGATGCATAAACCAAACTTCAATACGCTCTGAATTTCAAAAGTGTATTGACTCGAATTTGATTTCAAATAGGTTTTTCATTTCTCAAATCGGTTAGAAAACAGGTATAAACACATCACTCATTCGACGCGAAGTGAAAATAGGCCCGTTTTAAATTTGAATTATTACTAAAATAAATTTGAAATATTGTTCGCTTTCATTTCGGTCAATCGCGGAAATCAATTATTAAAGAAGTATCGTAATAAAACAAAAAATGTTGAATACGGTTTCTGAGAGTGCGCTGTAAAGACACAGGTATAAACGCTTGAAAGAAATATGTGTTAAATCAAATTGGTTTTTTCTTAATTCGGTTTTTGCGTAGGTATAAACAAGGTAATAGTTTGTTGATATGTGACTATATGTGAAGATATGAAAAGTGAATTTTCGGAAAGTGATGTCCAATAACATAAAAGAAGGAAGACCTAATGCTTTTCGCTTCATATCTACCTAATTTTCACTGGAACATACATACTTACAAGTTAATGATTAAGCGTATATTGAATGGCTAAACAAAAATCGTAAACTAATTGTTAAGTTAAA